GATGGTAAACAAAATGAGCAGGCCTTACAGCAACTGATGACACACAGAAGAAGGTCCATTTTGCAATCTACCTTCATAACTATCCTCTTTATTTTCCCCTCCATTCCTGAAAATTATTGAAGTAGCCCAACCACAGAACAGACACCACTGCAGCCAGAGTTCAATCTCCAGGCGAGCAAAATTCAATCAAATCCTCCGCTGCTGCTGACCTGCCCGTCTAGACGGAGAGGGACAGAAAAGAACAGGGAGAGGTGGAGAAATCAATATATAAAGCCGGAGGCAGGCAGAAGGCTGGCAACAGGTATACAGAGTGCTGGACAGAGTTAAGTTATGAAGAGGAGGGCAGAGAGACAGATTCAAGGAGAAAATAGCAGAGAGATGTTTGAGGGGATGAGTCTGAGTCAAAGGGGAAAACAAAAACCTTGTAAATTTAAGATTTAAGTGAGAGTTAAGAGGGAATAAGCATTTAGGATCTGCTGGTCTGAACAAACTATTTCTGGATATTACTGCTGCCTTTCACATTTCCTCTGTGCATGTCTGCGCAGTGTCAACTGGTTATAGAAAGACGGCCTGTTCTTATGTCCGGTTCTGCTTTCCATTTAAAGTGACAGTTTTGTTTCCACCTTGCTTGCTCAAAGAAAATAAAGATTCAGACAAAGCTTTGGAAAACTGCTCGATTAGGACCATCTTCTGACGGTAATCTGTTCATCAGGTGTCAGTGCCTTCACATTGGGCTTAGTGTTACTCTCAGGGTAAGAATAATACCAATTTGTAATAATACTTCGAGAAACATACCAAAGATACAGAGGTGATTATGAGGCTGCACCACTTAAGGAAGCCCGGTCAGTACATTTTTCTGAAAATTCAGTGTGAGCTCTGCTTACTCTACGCACTCTGCAATATTTCAGAGGCGTTACTAAGGGACAACACTGGAAACTATCTGCAAGAAGTCATAAGCCTTGAAAGTTATTAAAGATTATAAGATTAAAAGGAGGGTCAGCAGGTCAAACAATGGAGGAGAAATCTAAAAGGCGATGAAAATGATAAGTAGGAGAACAGGGTAGGTAACGATAGTTGGGACGGCACAGATTAATTATACTGAGTAATCCACTGGGATTTAAAGAGGAGAGGAAGAAATAAATTCTTGCAACATGTTCTCAAAAATGAAAGAGAGTAGTTATAAAAAGTTCAAAGGCTCTAAACGAGTAGAATTATCTCAGTAATATTAAATGAATATGTTTTAATAACATTGTCTCAAAATTTGGAGAAGATATGGAAATTATGATATTATAGACAAAGATAAGCTGCAAGTGTGTGCCGGGTGGGTGAGTCAGACACAGATTAATTACAATATGAAAAGCAGGGGACAGGGGAGAAGATCCAGATGCAGAGACAGGGGGAGAAGAGGAGGCTGTGTGAGAGGGTGAGTCAGGGTCTGTCCATTTGCATGGGCTCTGAAGGGTCCATGGGAGAAAAAAAAACAGAGGAACAGTGCACATCCTAAATCCATGAGTAAGTCTTTCTTCTCTACATTCTTCCATTCACTCTCTTCCCAAGACAACACCAGTAGAAACTATACAAAAACCCCCCAAAACATTAGCACTGAAAATAAATGCATTTAAAAAAAAATAGATTTCATAATATGAAAACAAATGGGCTTCAAATTGGAAAAAAAAGACAAACATTAGCCTTCATAACATAAGTGTTAGACAATAGGAGCACGTGGGGCCATCGGTTCATTCAGTAATGGCTCAAATTGAAGGAAATGGCTGCCGAAATTACATTTTAAGGGGTTCTCCTCTTAAGTGCTTTACGGGAGAATTGCATTCATTTCCTGTGTGACTTGGTCAAGCATCACATCAATCAAACATCCCAAAACTTCATCTCAAAACCATAAACAGTATGTAATAAGTTTAGTCTGACGAGGAAATGTATGGCGTTGAAGGGCTCCTGGCGAGCACGTGATATTTCCATTTTGTACATGAAGGTTTTCTATCTGGAGCTGAATGTGTTATGGTCTTTTAAGAACCTAATCGAAAAAAATCGGGACTCCGACATCAGATATTACCGCCATCTGTAACCATTTTGGTTACTGTAACTCGCCATCTGTACAAGCCTCTTTTTTTGTGAATAAAAGCAACATTTAAGTGTAAGATGGGTGCACCCTACCCATCAGAGAATGTGTTACACTGCTGCCATCTACTGTTTAACACACACATAGTTCGTCTGAACAAAACTGAACAAGCTATTATTAGAACAGGCAACTGGGATGTGAACTCACAACTGTTATCATTTTAAAGTTAAAGGGTATCTTTTATTCCAAGTTCCAGTACAAATGCTGCAAGGGAAAATTGGATTACACCAATGCAGGCTTACATGACGAATGTGTATGTAAGACCCATTCAGTCTGCAGACCAAGTCAAAGAAAAGTTCTGGCACCATCGTCTTGCCCGGTGCATACGAGTTATTCCTCTCTGAAATTCACTTTCAATCTAATACACAGCAAAAGGTGAATCGACCACCTCCAATTTTAAAGCAAAGGGTAACTGCAACCATGAAATTTAAGTGAAAAACATCACCCTGTCTTTGAAAATGACATTAACAAGGTTACAAACAGATTTAACTGGATTGTTTGTGCCATTTGTAGGTCTTAATCTTATTTGCTTACGGAAGCTGCCTGTAATAAAATCAACAAACTGAAGTAACAAGAAAAGTCACTTTTACATTGGCAGTTATGATAAATGGAAACAAAAAGCAAGGCATCCAGTTACACTTTCATGTTATCATCATTGTGTTCATGGCAAAGATGTCTCCATGCTAGCAAAGTTCTTAATTAATCTGTCAAAACACAATGTTCCAGAAGACAGTAATAGTTGAGCTGGCAAATAAATCTTGCCATGGTGTTCATTTTTTTTATTAAAATTACTCCTTACAAAATGTCAGACAAAGAGGAAGCTTATGCATTCACTGCTGCAGACATGTACATTGGCATAAAAAAATAAACTAGTGACATTTGGAATCTGGAATTTTGTCAGATCCTTACATCTTGCAGCCTAGTTTTGGACTGAATTTTAAAGTGACCTGACTACATTAGTGTTTGCTTTGCTCTCCAGACACAGATAATGGTACATACAATAGAGTTTTTTTTACTTTCCTCACTTACATTGTCTTGAGATATAGGATGCAATGTATTGATCCCAGAATTGGAATATTACTGGGCAGCATCAGCAAAATCCTTATTTTAACAGAACATTGTGACACATTACTTCCTTGTCAGTTACTCTTTGAGCTTTTCATCTGCAGCAGCTGTGATTAACTCTGAAACCACAGGAGGGACACTTATCTCTGAGCTCCAGGAAGGCCACAGCTATCTTTTTCCCTTGTGTGAACACATCCATTCTCAATTTATCATACCCGCACACATACAGTGGGCAGAAAACAAAACAATCTGAACCATGTTTTTTCCGACAATTCACTGTAATCCTAAAGCAAAACATATATCCATTATATATTTTTTCAGACTTGGGGTTGATTACAATACAAAAAAAAAAAAATCATACCTTTTGTTAACAAGTAAAACCTAAACACACATGTTTTCTAAGCAAATTAGTCCAACCAGAAACCCAGAGCAAACAAGAGATGGAGACAAAGGACTCCCTTTAGAAGCTGTGATGATAATGCTCCTTTGCCTTTATGGGCCTCGTCTGCTCAGGAAATACTCAGCCGTCCCTCTGAGGCTGTCTGATGGTCTAAGGAATTCTCACCTGTACAAAACAGGACTGTCTAACAAGACCGCAGGCTGTGCAGAACAGCCGGGTTTGGGTCAACATCTTCAGAAGAAGTTTTAAGAGATCGTGTATAAATATTACATATCTGATACCCTCTTAAATGTCACACTCTCTGTCGACAAAGTTAGTTTTCCGTTTGTATTGTTTGAGACAATTTGGATCCCGGTTATCTGTTAAAACTCAAATAGCAGACTCAGCGTCTAACAAATCGTTTTTCCAAAAGCAATGCTGATAAGCACCATTATCTTGCCAGTTCCAACTACTGTCACATCTGGAGACGGCAGACAGAACCAGGAGTGCTGAACAATAGTTTTGTTAACCAGCTTTGCAGTGACAGAAATCATGAGGGGAACCGCAACAGGAAGTTGTCTGAGGCTGAAACAACATGACCAGTCAACGTGAAGTATTCATAAGAAGCCATATAATTATGTTTGTGATACCTCATCACATTTTGTTTAGATGAAATGTGATGAAGTCATATTGTACATTTCTATTATATTCCGGTTTAGGAGGCCCGACACAGTGATCTGCTGTAATTATCATTAATGACGTGTAATTACAGCAGCGCGTGCACATGGCAGGCGGACGTCAGCGCTCTGCATCAGCCTCAGACGTCCTGACTCCGCTCCGGAGCCATCCCCCCCCCCCCCCCCCCCCCCTCCATCGCCTCATCCCATGGTGCATTCATGTCAAATCGGAAATCTGTCAAACCAATATTTACATTTAATAGAAGGGTCATCTTATGGAAATCCAGTGTTTTAAAACCTCTCTTCTTTTTTTTCAGCACAATAACGTATTTAAAATTTCTCATTGTGTCTTAGAAATACAGTCGAATGTCATTTTTATATCTGTTCCAACTATGGACCTTTGTTTACACGCGCAAAGTAAAGAATAAAACAAGAGGTAAAAAACAACCAATGCATGCCTGAAACTCCAAAGTCGTATTCTAAAATCATGGCAAAGGAAATCAGTGTAATTATTCTGTTTGGATTCAGGGACATAATTGATTTCGTTTTGGTGCGGAATGTAAACGGAACGTGTTTGTTTACAGGGAAGCTAGGCGGGATGGGTCCAAGTTGACCGAAGCAGGATTTCCTAGTTGGACGTGAACGCATCGGTCGCTACCGGGAGACGTTTGCCGCAGCGGAGCCTCAAGAGCGCACAATGTTAGGACAGCAGACCGCCTGAACGCTCCGCACAGAGAGCCTGAGCATGGCCGGCCGGGGGAGACTCGGGCCGGGCGGCTGCACGGCGGAGCACGCCGGGAAAACGGCTGCCCCCCGACAGGAAGCCTCCGGGGGGAGCGGGGATGCGGCGGCGCCGCGGCGGGAGCTGCCCGGATGGATGCGGCTGTACTTCTACGGGATGCACGGCGTGACTCTGGACGTCCTGCTGTCGTCGCTGCAGGGGGCGTTCACTGACCGGGACCCCAGGCTGGTGGGCTTCTCGTCCCCGTACCTGTGCGTCGCGCACTCGCTGACCCACTTTGCGCTGGAGAAGATCTACTCTCAGAAGAGGTGTTTCCGAGGTCGGCCTGTGGTGTTTCACCTCGTCTTCTACCCGTCCATCTACATCGGCCTCCAGATCCTGATCGGGAACATCAACACTTTGACCGAGCAGGTGCGCGTGGTGTCCGGGACGCAGCTGGCCGTGCACTACGTCCTGGCCCTGTATTTCGCCCAGGTGTTCCACCGGGGTCTGGCACAGCTGCAGTATCGGCCCTGCAGCTCTGCGGACCTCCGGAGGGAGCTCGGCCCTCAGGCCGAAGGTCAGGGGCGCAGACCCGTGCACGCGCTGCCGGGCTTCGCGCGCTTCCTGTTCTTTGGCATGCACGGCTTTCTGGACGAAGTGCTGTTCACCTCCCTGTTCAATCTGGTGGAGAAGTCTGACCGGACCCTGAGCGGCCACACGTCCCTGTGGTCCTTCCTCATGTACGGAAGCTGCAGCTTCGTGGTGGAGAAGCTCTACCTGCATCTGCATTTCAGCCGAGGCTGGAGCACCTGGCGGCGACTGCCCATCTACATCTGCTTCATCTACACCTGGGAGTTCAGCTGGGGCTTGGTCCTCAGGCAGTTTGGCGCCTGCTCCTGGGACTACTCCCACTACCCTCACAACTTCATGGGGCTCATCACCCTGCTGTACCTGCCCGGCTGGATCTGCCTGAGCCTCTATCAGGACGTGCTCTCCGACGTCCTGCTGACCATTAGGTGCTCTCATGATGGACACCACCAGAGCGGAGAGGACGACGGACAGTTAGAGTCCAAGAAAAAGATTTAGATTTCATTTTGAGGTTTTGCTATACTCACTGGCCATAAAGGCCAGATGTGTTTGCAGAGGAGGAATTTGTAGGGTAAAGAGGGCCCTTCTGTTTATCTCCAAACTGAACAGCTGAAGGTCTGGGACTTAACCTAAACTCAAGGTTAAGAGCTGTGTAAGGCTCAACAGAATATTTTGCAGCTTTGGTCCGGTTTGTGACAAAATAAGTCAGATGTGTTGAGAATACATGTTTGCGAGGTGAGAGACCCGTGCACATTGGAGTCTTGACCTCATTACTATGCAGATCAGACATTTTCCAGCTGTCATCTCTGTCACGTCTGATATTTCAGGGTCAATTAAGACTGATATTTTTATCCTAATCTTATTTAAATTCCTACTGCCATTTTTTATCCCACTAATGTAAAATAGAAATATTAATAACTGTCACATCTTCATAAATTTATAAGTGTGAGCACTTTTTTCCCCCCTTCCCTCTGCAGACTTCCCCTTTTATACACTGAAGCTATTATAGCAGGTCGGATTTTTGCTGTATGAAGATGTTCCTGTTGCATCTGCATGTTTTAACTTGAGCTCATATCTGCATGCGAATAATGTAACATGAAAGGTTTATGATTTTGTTCACAATAGCACACAAGTAAATAACATTCCGTGGTCAGTATTCCAACCATTCCCTTTTCCTCTTTTCCAAGTTTCAGTGCCAGATTGGAGAGAACTAAATCCTGTCACCTTAATTTTGGAACTCCATACAGGAGATATCAAAGAGAGAAGCCCAGTCATAAATGTAGCAGAGGATAACCTGTATCTGAATTAAAATGTGGAGCCAAATGAGATTTTACTGTGAATTTTTCAATGAACCAAATAATACTTTACTGGAGTGCCTTCCTATGTGAGCAGACCATTTGGAGCAAGACGTGGCTGCTCTTATCTGAAAGTGCTAAACACATGGGTCACAAACACATGTGTGCTCTGTAGATTTGAATTCTTTGATAATATATTAAAGAATATAAAATATTCACAATGTCCTATGCGAGCAAAAAATGTAATTTTAAAATTCCACATTAAAATCAAACATTTGGATCTGAGAAAGTTCTGGGCGTCAGGCACACATACTGAATTCAATCTAAGCGCTGTACTGTGTTGATTGTTTTGTTTGTCTTCTTAACTTGGCAGCTAAACTAATGTCCTCAAACAATAACATCCCCTGCCACACGAGTTTAGAGTTTATACCTTTGTAAATCCTGTGATGCCGCATGGTCGGCTCCGATTCTAAATGCTTTTTGTTGTGCACTTTTTTAATGAAGAAAACCTATTTAAGTAAAACGCAAGTTAATCCAAGGTTTATTCATGAAATTAATTTTTAAAAAGATCACTTACAGTTGCATGTGCTGTATGACTTACAATTTGATTAAATAAAAAAAATTGACTGTCTCAGTCTCTGTTCCTTAATTTTTATGGTAATATGGAAAGTACAATATTCAGCAGTTCTGAGTAAATATGCTGCTTTGTCGGGTCACAGGAGATCTTTCTGAGAAAAGCTCTGACCTTATATCTATTTCACATTTCCAGCTAAATAGTAAAAGAATGCAAGTAAACGTTAATCACCGTCATGTGCTACCATCAGTTGTAGGCAGTAGTTTGGTTTTTACGTCTCGTATGAAGCATGTTTTAACAAACCCACCACAAAAAGATAAAATAAGGGTTCATAACTTGGCTTTGTGCCTGTAAATTCCTAACTACCTCAGGCTAGTTCCTGGTACAAACTGTGGCCGTTTTATCTCTCAGAGCCGCTTCCTTTTACAGACCTCATTATGAAACAAAATATAGGGTCAGAACTAATTTCAACAAGACACCGGTCTCATTCACAGGGTTTTATAATGCCGACTGCTTTTCAATTTCAAATGCTGCGAGTCACCACCCAGTGTCACACATTTGTGTATCTGGACAAGATATATAGCTGCTTACGGCACCTTGGAAATCATGATGGAAGCAAACAAACACACTGTTACCACTGACACACAATCACTACCCAAGAGACCATGGCTGTCTCCACCAGAGACCAACACAGTTCAGCTGTACACCATACTGGGAATACTCCAAGTCCTCCATAAAGAGTCATTAGCGGTCATGAAATGCTGCTGTTCAGACATAATGTGTGGTTGTAAGAATACGAAAAGAAGAAAGTGAGATACAAATTGCTCATCCCCTTCAGTAATTAAACTAACAACAGAACACTGAACCACCACCAGTATATTAACGGCTGAAGTCCCACCAATCAAATTAAATGCTGATAAGTCATTGATGGTGACAGTGTGGTGGAGAGGTGCCAGTAGCCCCACGAGGAGCTGTGAAAGGCGACAGAGTCCCCCATGCCAAAACGGGACAAAGTAGGGTTTCAGACTAAGAGGGATTTAAAAGCATCAATGGAGCAGACCCAGAGTAAAATGGCCGACTGGTCCCGAAAAGAGAAACCGGGCAGTGTGGGCAAGACCAAGAAGTAAGACTCTTAAGGTCATGCAGACAGTCCTGGCTGGAGAACGGTTCACTGGAAACCAGGATGTCGACAGACAGGAAAACTTTTTACTCAATTCAAGCAGCATGTTCTGCATTAAGGGGGCAAAGTCTGAGAAGAATACCAAATCACAACCTCAATTTCTAAGGTGTTAGAAAGCTTCCTGACAGTAAAGTGGACCAACTTCACCCCGAGAAGTTCACAACCAGGACACTGAAAATTGGGTTTAAATCAGCTAATCTGATATTGTTCAAACTCAACCTGAAATTATTTCAAATTCATTTCAACATAATTTATTCAAACAGGCACTGAGGAACAGTGCAGTAAACTAAGTGCTGTAAACACAGCATATGAATGAGAAGCCTCCTCAGAAATAAACAGATACGTTAGCCCTTCGGTACAAAAATAGTTAACATAGTGCATTTCTCCCAGAAGCTACAGTAGACAAAAAAATGGCAAAAAGAAGATTCAATTGTGAGCCTACCTGTGCTTATGTTGCACAGAAGTTCATCCTCAGATAGATGCCACAGAAGCTCCCCATCTGCTTGATTTGTGAATAAGGGCTCCTTTGTTGCGAGGTTAGCGGCCATTTTGGTTTAGTCCTCAGCAGGGAACGGAATACGTTTGAATTGCTAACCCCCTTGTTAAATGAATTACTTTTGGGGTGCTTGAAATGTGTAACTGTGATTTTACTGCATCGACTCTGACTGTGAGCTTTGGAAAAGGCCTGCTGATCAGTCTGTGCTGAGAGGAGCACTAATCAAGCAGCAAGTAGAAACACCTGTGTGTAGATGGCTAAAGAATAGTTTCTTCTTCATGTGTTCATTGTTCTATACATGGTTTTACAGTACTGTGGAAGAAAAGGGGAACATTACAGGATACTTTTAAAGCCCTTGTGATAGCAAAATGTGTGTTTTTATTTTGTTTATCCAGTTTTTGCCCTTCCATAGAAAGAAATCAACACACTGTTTAAGCTTCTCTCATTTTTGTGTTTTTTTAATCGATTTGCATATGCAGTCAAATCATATGTAAATCCTCGCTGTGAGTAATATTGTCATCGGCACATGATACACCTCGGAGATTGCAGTGTTTTTGTATGATGGATGGTCACTGGTGATAAGACTGGATCCTTTGTCTTTCGCACATCAAAATGCATCAGTGTCCAAAGGCCGTGAAATCCGTTCACAGTGCGTCAACGTCCAGCTACACATCTCACAACACAGAGTCTGCGTTCTCTGTATTTTGGCTCTAACTGTACAAAAATTCGTACTTTAATCAGAAACCAATCATTTGAAGCTAAACATTCCTGTTTTTCTTTCCTCGTTGATGCTGGCCTGCTCTATATTGGCTAACATACCTTTACTTAGACTGAAGGGCCCTTGCTTCACACTAAATGTCAGGGCCTTGGTTAGCTCTCTGTAAGTTCTGGGAGTGCAGCTCAGGCCTTTGTAGCACTGACAGCTGAATCTCCTCCGTAAAATCTTCAGGTCTGCTAATGTGGGTCTCCCGAGAACCAAATAGCGCCCCCCGACATGTACGATCCTGAAAGTCTCAGAGTTGAGGTGGAGGTAGTGATTGGACTTGGAATTTTTCCGTACGCAGCGGCCATTCCCCCGACACAGGAAGCTGCTGCAGAGCTGGGCAGCTGCTGTGACGTTGGTGATGTAAGGGTTGAGGGTGGAGTTGAGGTAGAACGAGAGGGCTTCACAAGAGGTCTGGAAAGTAGAGGAAAATGTGTGGGTTCATGAAGAGGCAAAAGCAGTAAAGTAAGAACGAGGGCTGATGTATTTCAAAACATACCCTGTTAAAGTTCATAAGAGCACAAAACATTTTTTTTTTATGTATGTGCATTTAGCAGACGTTTTTATCCAAAGCGATTTACAAAGAAATATATCTGAATATAATATCTGAATATCCACTGACTCCATTCATTCATTCATTCACACTGTGAGCTCTTTATGAGGGATGACAGTCGCTTTCATCAAGCTAAATTTGGTTTTCCACCTGGAGAATAATTCATGTAGACGTATTACCAACCACCACATTCAATCAACAGCTTTTGTGAGTCTAAAAGCAGGTCTGATGGCAGCTTCCTGCCCCACTGGCCTGTCTGCATATAAATGAGCCTATCATGTCTTTAGAGTGTGAGAGGCAGCTGGACCTGAAATGATACACCCCTAAGCAGCCTTCCACCTTTGCCTTTTTGTACTTTTGGTTTTTGTCTGACTATAGCACCACGCTGTCGTGTCTTTCAGCGGCCCGGGGGAGGTCTGTGCTGACCTTGTGTATGTTACCTGATCATCAAAGTCAGCACTGGCCCCCCACAGCACAGCGCCGGATGCTCCGACTGCCGCGCTCTCCCCAATGGTGCTGATCAGATCCTCCTGGACACAAACATGTTCACCAATGATGTTGCACACATGGAAAAAAAAGCACACTGTAAAAACACTTTTCTTGCACGAGGTCTTTGATGCATTCTGCTACAATTACAGACAGACATAACAGAATCGGACTGGATGAGAATTACACCTTCAGGTGGGGGTTGCACTGGAGCTGGGTGTTGTTACAGCAGAGAAACCAAACTCCCCGAAAACTGGACCTCTCGAAGTGGAAACCTCAGTCTCTTGGGATCGAAGACGTAACCTAAGCTGTACCTCATCTTGTCAAGTGAGCAGTCGCTCCGTCTTTTTCAGGAGATTTAATCAGTCTTAATCATCATTTCGGTAAGATTAAGTGGCTGTTGTTTAAATGTGTTGACTAAAACTCGTTTTGGGACGGAGACATTCACAGATAGCGTTTTAATCATCTCTCTTTACCCGACTGAGGAAACGTCTGTTCTGGTCCACAAAAACGGGTCGCATGTAAACAAACACGGGTTTGGGGCCACTCGCCACAGACAGGGCAGAGGCTCTCAACGCCTCCTGGACACGGTTTCTGACCATCAGCGCTGCTTTGGGATTGTCTGCAAGAGAAGTCTGAGGCAGAAGAATAGCAGTTTAGGAGAGAGTGAAGTTGATGATAACTTATCCATAAAGAGAAACATCAGCAACCTGCATGTAAACAGAGGGGTAGAGGGCAGTGCTGGACTCCCACAGCCAGATGAGCTCATCGTTCTGCCTTCTCACCTCCCTGGAGCACTGGCCTGTGTAGTCTGGCTCCTGCCAGCCATAGTTATAGCAATTGGGAAACAGGTAGAAGCCCCAAAGATAGTTTGGCCTCATGGCTTTTCCCAGTTCCAGCATCCCTGACATAAACCTCTTTGCTGCTTCCTAAAGATAAGACTCATAAATATTTGATAAGAACTTCTATATCACAAACACAGTTTTTGTTTTAGCTATCCAAACACAGTTGGTTCTGACCTCAAACTGTTGTTTGGCCTTTTCCATGGCCTGCTGTGCTGTGAGGGTGTGGTTTGTACGCATAGCATGGGCCACTGACAGTGTTTGATAGATTCTCTTATTGCCCCAATTTCTGTCCCATAGAGGGCGCCATTCCTCCCAGTCAATCACAGCCAGGCCTCTGGAAGTCCTGCAAAGGATGTTTGTGAGTGGGCCATAGATTCCACATAATGTTAAGTGTTTAATCACACCATTGGTACTGTTACTGTTTGGTAAAACTGTGAAGAGAAAAGCTGTCAGGCCTCCTCTTTGCTTTCCCAATAAACTTTTCCCCTGTTTTTTAATGATAACAACAGTTTCTTTTTTAAGAATTGTAAAAGAACAATCACACTTCAGAAATAGTGAATGTATCCCTTTTAACATCGCACATGTTTTCTATGCTTTATTTACATTGTCCCAACTTTATTTCTGGAATAAGAGTTTGGCATTTTTTAACTTACTTGGACGGTATGTAGTAATTTATATCTTCTTTAGCCTTGTCCATGCTGGCTTTCATGTTTACTCTTTGGGGGATGCCACCATAGAACAATTTTCTGCTCTTAATATCTACATGTGGGTAAAGACCCAGTCTGTTTGTGTAGAACAGAGATAAAAACTGTCCTGGTACCTGCAGCAAAGAAAAAAATCAAGATAAATGGTTGACATTTTTTCTCGAAACAATAGACTTTTCAACCCCAGGTAAAAGTTTATATTCCAAAATCTGCATAACAAGTCTACCTTGGCAGGTGTGGCCACTCCTTTAAAGGGTGAGGTGTCCAGTGAAATATTGTGCCTGTTACACACCAGACTGGGAATGTTCCAAGTAACTATGAAGGGCTGATGCTCAAACAAGGGGCCTGCGGTGTGGGGGGGAATGTGGGGCCGATGCAGCCCAGGCTGCCTGGAAGCTGCTCCTTTTGGAGACCATGTGGATTCAGGGAGACGACTGGGCGGTGCTCCAGCAAGACGTGGAGATATTTCCAGACTTAAACGGGGAGTTAAAACTGAGTTGAAGACGGGAAGTCGTGAGGCTGATGTGAGATTGGACAGGGGTGTAACAGATAGAGGAGGGAGTTTTTCAGAAGGGAGAAGATACAGGGACAAGTTCGACGGAAGAGATTTAACATTGTCGTGTGAGGGAACATCTCCAGTTTTATGGGACGGAGACAAATGTTTGCCGGTGCGTGGTGCCAACTGGAAAACATATTTTATGGGTTGAACAAGAGTACGAATGCGACAAGAGCCCGAATGAGGAGCCAGAGATGTTTTTTTCTTTAAGTGACTGATCTTTGTGGAGGTTGTGTTTGGCTTTATAAGCATGTCTCTGGATGATGGTTCATCATAGAGCGGGGAAAACATTTTAGAGGAAGATGACTTTAAATTAAACGCTGTCTGTGTTGAAATAGAAGGCGGAAAAATTCTAGGAAAGGTAATGGAGTTTGAGGAGTGTGTGGTATAGGAGGGTTTAAGACCTTTAGAAACTGTAGCTGGTAGGATACGGGTTGATTTGCTGTTTGCACCAACAGAAAGGCTGGTGGCTTTCGGGGATGTTAGGTTAGTCAGAGTTAAGGCAGGCCAGACCGATAGAGACACAAGAATGAGGAAGCACTGAGTGAAAAGTGAGAGCGACAGCACCCCGCTTTGGCTCCTCTGCGTCACTTGACTTTAAAACAAAACAGAGACAAAAAGTCAAGTCCACATGTCCTCTTTGCAAAACAATTTGATAAGACGTCATTCAGCGACCTGATATTCCTGCCCGTCTACTGGATTCCACACATTTCTTTCCTTATGTGCACAATGTTTACTTTTGTGCATGGTCTAATTTATAAAATACTCAAAGCAGGCACTTTGCTCTGTCAAACGATAAAGCCTCGAAAAATCAAATGTCATCAAATGGCTCCAGTTAAACAGTCATACATTTTCAAATCATATCTATCTGTGACTGTCCAAGAGCTACACTGCTTTGCAGTATTCCAAACTGACATCTCCCTATTAAGAAATGTCTAAGCTGTAATGAGACAGTAAACCAACAGAATATGATTTTAAAAAATGGACACTGTACCTTGACATGCCTTCAGCCAAATCATCCCAGCAATAAAAATGTGTTGACTGGTTGAGTGATTCACCCAGGGTGAAGGTGTTTTACATGTCCATATAACAGGGGCTGCAGGAGGAGGAGAAGCACAGCACAGTGATGTACCAGGATGCTATATGTTGTTTGTCCCAGAAAAAGTTCATCTTCGGGCAGAGGAAAGGACACACCTGGGTGTGAGGTTATAGAACATTATGGGTAAACAGATAATCACTGCACTGGATGGAACTGATAAAGGTTACAATAGAAAGTGCAAAAATCTGGAGACCCAAATGCCAAAAAGTACATGGGTAATGTTCCTATAGATGAGCCAAACGTGAATATACGTCAGACATATTTAGATTTTTCAGAAAACATAAGATTAAATTAAACATTTAAAAAAGCAATCAATAACAGCTCTCGTCTCCACCATGTGACACGTCTGTCTGGGAATGACACTTCTCACTTAGTTGTTTACACTTTTCTGCCCGTGCTCATGTCTCTGGTCAGGCACATGCAATTCACCATTTGGTGGTGGTTATTTCACATGTTGGTGGTACCCCATAAACACCAGAGGTAAACTTTAACTTTTAACTTTTTTTTCCTCTAATGAATTCCACTAAGAGTCCAAAATTGTCCAATTTTGATGATGAAAACCTGTTATTGAACAGGCATGCTCAGTGGAATAATGATGACGATGATTATCATGATAATTATAGGTAATATTCTGGGAATGTCAACTGTCCTGTTTTAATGTTTAGAATAAATATGTAAAATATGAAAATTACAAATGTTTTTCACATTACTATAGCCAGGATAATGATATCATGATATGATATGATATGATATGATATGATATGATATGATATGATAT